AACTATTATGGGTGGAGATGCTAAATTAATAAGTGCTGCATACAGAATGCCTCTACCTTCTTGGTTGGCTCACAAACATGATAACATTATAAAATGGCATGAAAATCATTGACTGACTATTACAACCCAGCCAAAGCAAACACAGAACAAGACATTTAGCAGCAAAAAAATGATACTCATAAAAGAGACCTCAGGCTACCAGCAGACCATTGAAGTAACTTTAAAAGATCAACCCCCTTAGTTAAAAGTCTGGGCAAAAACACCTCAAATGGAATAGGGTGGGTAGCAGAAAAAGCTCAACAGGCAAGGCATTCCACCGATGATGTGTCACCACTGAAAGGCCCTGTCTCTAGTCACTACCCACCTCACCTCTGCAGTCAGGGCAGAGAGTAGGACTTGAGAAGAGGATAATTGTGCGCTGGAAGGTATGGGAGGAGGCAATCCTTCAGTTATCCTGGTCCCAAAACATTTAAGGGCCTTAAAGGTGGGAATCATGCCTTGAAACACACAACCAGCTAACACAGTTCTTTTAACACAGGGATGTACAATCCCTGTATCTACGTAGTCCATGACACTAGCCTAACTGCCACATTTTGAACCAACTTTATGGCAGTTTTCAACCAAGACTCATGTAAATAGCATTAGAGTAAGGTAGTCTGCGGTGGCTCAAGTGGTTAAGATGCTGAACTGCAGGCTGTGGAAGGTCGGTAGTTCAGCAGTTCGAGACCCGAGTGTGCCACATGACGGAGTGAGCTCCCGTCTCTAGTTCCAGCTCCTGCCAACCTAGCCGTTCGAAAGCAAGAAATTGCAAGTAGATAAATAGGTACCACTTCGGTGGGAAGGTAACAGCGTTCCGTGGCCACATGATCACGGAAACGTCTTCGGACAGCGCTGGATCTTCGGCTTTGAAACGGAGATGAGCACCGCAACCCTAGAGTCGGATTTGACTGGCTTTCAAGCAAGGGAACCTTTACCTTTACCTTAAGGTAGCCTGGATGTAATCAGAGCATGGATCACTGTGGCCAGATCATCCCTTGAGAACAACCATCACGGATTAATAGGAAGGACCCTAAAGGTAAAGGACCCTGCAGCACCCCAAAGTTTTATACCTGCTTCTTCAGGGGAAGTGCAACTTCTTCCTGAACAGACCAACTCCTTAGTCCTTGAGCAGCTTTGTCATTGCCAACAATAGTTCTGTTTAAAGGACCCAATCCATCCCATTGCCACCGACCCATTTGACTTAACAGTTGTTAAGGAGAAACAGAGTTGGTGTTATCTGCATATTGGGGGCACCAGATCCCTAATCTCTCCCATGGGTTTCATGTAGAACAGCATGGGGGCAGGACAGACCCCTGTGGAACACTGTGGTATACATGCCATGAGGCCAAGCAGCAGTCCCAGATGCCAGCCTAATAACAGCATAGCTACCAAAACATGGTGCCCCCCAATCCCAACCTGGCCAGCCTCTCCAGAAGGATGTCAGTCGATGGAATCGAAAACTGCCTAGATAATTAACTGTGACATATTCCCCCTGCATTTGCCTGTCAAAGATCATAAAGCCAGATAACCAAGGCCATTTCTATCCCAAACTCAGGCCTGAATCAAGGTTGGAATTGAAATTAGTCTAGATAATCCATCTCCTCCAAGAACTCCTAAAGCTGCATAGGCACCACCTATTCAAGCACCCTTCCAAAGAAAGGAATGTTGACTATCAGGCAGTAATTATTTAGAAGAAGAGATTGGATTTCTACCCCGCCCTTCACAACCCAAAGGTGTCTCAGAGCGGCTTACAAACTCCTTTCCCTTCCCCTCCCCACCACAGACACCCTGTAAGGTAGGTGGGGCTGAGAGAGCTCTTGACAGAAACTGCTCTTTTTCAAGGACAGCTCTGATCAGAACTATGGCTTGCCCAAGGTCATCCAGCCAGGTGAAAGTGGAGAAGTGGGGAATCAAACCGGTTCTCCCAGATTAGAGTCCGCGCACTTAACCACTACACCAAACTGGCTTCCACTTCATCCGGTCTCACCAACTGAAAGTCATCCATACATCTAGAACGAGACTGTACTTCAGTAACAACCTGAGACTGATCTGAACCAGCCATAGTGTCCAAGTTGTGGTGGATGCAGAAAACTGTATTCACAAAATTCAGTTGCCAAGTATCTATGAATCTAAATCTCAGTAAGTAATGGTCAGTCCAGGACAAGGGTAGAGTGGAAAATCCCTTTACCATACCATGCACTTTGCTCCCCAGAGATAATCAAATCAAATGCATGTTATTACAGGAACAGTGACCAGAATGAAGTCCTGAGCACACAATTAAGTTTCACTAAGAAGAGAGTTATTGATTGATTTAAAGCTGAATTTTATCTTGAATGTAGTCCCTTATCCTATTGAAATCAAAGGTAAATCTCCAGTGGTTTAACTTTATAAATATCGTAATAAACTGTTTCACCCCTTTGCATTGCCTGCTTAATGTGTCTATCCAATTCTGATCTTCCATTGAAATTTTCTCTTACTCATGCCTAGAAATGATTGAATCCAGTAGATGAAGTCAAATTTCTCAAGCACAAATTTACATACTCTTTCAACAGGCTCCCAGTTTTATACTGCAGTGTTACAAAACTGGAGGGAACCTAAGTAATTCAGCCATTTGATCCAAAACAAGATAGCCTACACCACAGCATATAATGGAAGCAGAAAACCATTGGAATAGTTAAAGATGTGGTCTAGACTATGTAGAATATGTTTATCCTGAAGTACAGAAAATAAGATTAAGGTACAATTTCAGATATCCAAGATGACTTGCAGCTGTGCGTGCGTGTGCACAACAGAGAGAGAACCAAAACAATTTATATTAACTATTACAAAGTTCATGACTGGATCCAGCTTTGGCAGAAAAAGATATGTGGAAGATATTGGAATAGAATTTTGACATTTAAAATGTAGCATTAAAATATTTAATGATATTTAAATCAATTATTTTTGTCTTTTTCCCAGGAACCTGTGGATTGAATAACTGAACTCTGTACTGTTTTTCTAAGCTATTCTTGAGAAGACAGGCAGGCACCTTTGGCAGGGCATAACTTATTACTGTCACTTTTGTGGCACATAATGGTGGCAAACAGATTGTTCTATCATGGGGTCAGTAGAAAGTAGGTTAATTGTTCAGTGAATGCTGAAACTCACAGGGGCAGATTATTCAGGCAAATTATACTTGACCCTGAGGTTCCTATAAACCACCTTATATTTCCTGATATAGTAGGATATTGTAACATATATGCCCAGGAGCAGGCCACACAGACAACGGATGAACATCTCTTGCATTAGTTCAGGAAAGCCAATTCTGTAAGAACTATGTCATCAATGAAAATATCAAGACTTTATTACTGACTAGTCCAAGAAGGGTCAGTTGAAAAAAAAAAAAAATCAGTACCAGCATCCCTAAATGCATCAGTCTTAATATGTTCTAGATGGTCAAATGTAGCACAACTAGGAGTTGGAGACACATAAATGTTTGCTATTTCTACATGATCCAAACGTGCTTAGTTGTGCAGTCTATCTAGACTGCATTCACAATGAGGACCCATGACTTTATTTGCACTCCGCACCATAAAGGTGGAACATACTGCTATTCATCCTAGGCTAAAGCAGTAACTGACAACATTAACAACTGCAATTAAAGTATAATGGAGGGATGTAAAACATTACATAATTAGTCAGGATTTGTGCATTTATATATTGCTGTTAACATTTTCCAAGTATTGGAAAAATGGCAAAGGGTTACCTGTGCCTGCAGAATGTGTTCTCCAATTCTGACAATGCTGTTAAATACCTAAACACAGAACTGTCACGAGAATATTAAAATATTTTCTTAAAAATCAGTAGAGTGCTCATAATACATGTGGACTAGATAAGACTGTGAGCTTGTGAAACAATATAATTGGATAGCTTAATTGTTTACTTTATTCAGTGAAATTTACATCCTTAGTATAATTCCCATTATTCTACACAATCTAGCAATAGTTTTTTCACCTCCTAGTTTGCATCTGCAGCTCCTAGAGCTCCAATGACTAATCTAAATCAGTCTGCTCAACCTGTTTGTAAAATACCCTCTATAAATGCACAACAGGGCCACCAAGGTAAATGGCAAAAATCCTGTGATAGCACTTGAGAGAGCTGAGTCACACTCTCAGAATTTTTCTGAGAGTTATATATGCATGAAATACAGGGTAGGAAATTGGAAAAACTGAGCAAGAGTGTAGAGGTTATGTGTTGTACACTTCTTTTCCAGGGCCCGGAGTCATATGTACCACAGTTTCTTCGACTATGTATCGCTGTATGTTTTCAAGCTCCTTTTTACATCAAGAATTAAATATTTATAAATGAAAGTTGATTTTTATAACTCTGGCCTGGGACAAGCATGTGTAGTGAACAGTGCAACTGTTAGTAGTAGTATAATTCTTCCATTAGTGAGCCTTGTCCTGTATAACTAGAATGCATTTTCAAATCCTTTTGCCATCCTAGTCCTAGTTACTTAAATAAAGTAAAGTGTATGTTTTTCTACAACTGGGGAGTACATTTTTTCTAGTAGGACAGTAATATATATTTCACAATAACCTGTTTGGATATGCTGGGGTGTGTGTTGTGCTGTCAAGTTGGTTCCAACTTTGGAGACCCTATGAATTAATGACCTCCAAAACATCCTCAGGTTTTGCAATCTGAAGGCCATGGCTTTCTTTATTGAGTCAATCCATTTTATGCTGGGTCTTCCTCTTTTCCTGCTGTCTTCAACTTTTCCTAGCATTATTGTCTTTTTCAGAGAGTCTTGTTTTCTCATGTGGCTAAAGTACAATAGCCTCAGTTGAGTCATTTTTGCTTCTATGTAGAGTTCAAGATTGATATGGTCTAAAACGTACTGATTTGTCTTTTTGGCGGTCCATCGCCACATTTCAAATATGCTGGATTCATTACCAATTAACTGACATACAACAAATAGGGTGATAAAGACATTTATAAAACAAATTAATAAACACAACAATTGTCAAAGCTGAAAAACATTTCAAGGAAGAGAAGTCACAGTTTCTGAATCTGAAGTGTAGAAAATGCGTTTCTTTCCTACTCTGCAATACAGGATGAATTCTTCTCCTGTCCTCTACCATTTGAGGTTGAATATTTAGAAGGAGACAGGCCACTAAAAATACATAGCTTTCTCTACAGAGGAGCCAAGCATACTCGTTTAGAAAGCAGGCCACAGAGAAGCATTACTGTTACTTCCCTTTTCAGAGAAGGGTTTACTAGCTGTTTCACATATACCACATAATTACAGTGGTACATCTTATAGAACTGTATGACTTCCCCCATAACTGCATAGTTTCAGGTGTCACTAAGTCCATTTCCCCCCTTACCAGTGTTCTCAAATCCAAAGCCCAGGTAAGGGTCAGTGTTCCTGCTACATTAGAGCAGACCATCAAGCAATTTTCCAGCTCCATATACTGCCAAGAAATATCACTGCATCTGCAATGAGCTTCTTGGAATTTACTAACATAACCAAAGTACTTTACAGAGCTAAAGTTACTATTCTGGATAGCTGCATGATACCAGCTACATGAAACACTCTTCCCAAGGTCTTGAAAACATGACATTTCCCATTGGTGTGATGCAGGAAGATGTCCAGCAATCCTGCCAAGGCTACACTGAAATCAAATGATGGAAACATGTCTGGTTAGAATTCGAAATGCTCAGTAAGATCAAGGTGAGGCATGCTGTGCAGGGCACATAACCTGGGAATATTTAAAGATGCAAATTCACTGCAACCTATAGTTGTGAAAATAGAACAACACAAGCGAAGTACTGGAAAAAGTTTATATATGGGGAAGATCTGTCATCTTTGCTTAATCCAAGTGACACCCCCCTCCCCAAGCCATTACAATGCATTTGGTTCAATCCATGTTAGGAATTTCCTCTAGTAAAGGGGGGAAATGCCAGGGTGCTATAAGCAGATGAGTCATTCCACAACAGGAAACAGTTCTTTCTTTCTGAGGAGAACACTTGTAGGAAGAAAATTCACACAAAGGAAAGAATGAAATATATTTTTGTTTAACAAGGATTACTTTGCCTAATTGGAACAGAGCAGAGTTTGCAAATCAAGTTTTATTTATTCTGTGTAATTTATTTTGCTTCTGCTAGTCTTGGGAGGAGGAAGGAGCTACATATGGTACTGAAGCCACACCTGCTGATCACAAGAAATCTTACTCAACAACTCTTCTGGTTTCAGAAACTTCACCAGACATTATGAATACATTTTCAGGCATTCTGTTTGGTCTTAA